ATACAGTATCGGGAAATGAAATATCGCGGTATTTCAGTGTATCGATATTTTCTTACACCCCTAAAGTCTACTGATGTTGACATCTTTTAATTAATTTGTAAATAAAATGTTTCTGTGCCGCTATATAGTCCTAAATCCCTTCCTCAAACTGCTTTGGATGCTGGAAGGGGGGCAGGGAGAAAAGCACCTCATTTGGATTTAAAGAGACAGCATCAAAATGAGTTGAGCTGAGACAGAAAAGGAGTGAACAAGAGGATTGTGGAGTTACAGTAAGGAGGAATTCAGACCAAAGCATAACAGTTTCACTTAGACCCCAATAAATGATTTAAATGTGGAAAAGGATTTAAAACCATCACATCTCCTTTTAATTTTTTATTTGTTATAGTTTGTCTGTTTTATTTTACCTGAATTCTTTGCATTCAGCTGCAGGTGTTCCAGTAATGCCCCATCTTTCATTTCTCTCCTGTAGCGGAGCTCTTCCACCAGTTGTCTCAGGCTCTTGAAGTTCTCACTGATGCTGCTGCGAGAGTAAGATCAAAGAAGTTTTTAAACTTGTGAAAAGGATCCTAATCCTATTTAATCCACATCCACACTGACAGTTTATCCTAATGATTCATGCTGGTTTCAGGCTGCCTATGACAAGATTTGTGCTGCCAAGAAACAAGCAGAAGAAAGAAACCGGAAACTAGATGATAAAAGGAAGAAAATTAAACTTGGTGAGTCATTTTTCAGTCTGTCTGTGGGTTAATAGTTATTTTAATTCATTAATGTGATCGTAGCAGTTGCATTAATATTAGAAAAGGAAAATTCAGCTTCTAATGAAACATAAAATTTTTGTGTAAACTAGCCTAAAGCTAACATTCACTGAGATAAAAAGATAAATTGTTAACATCTGAATACGTTGCTGTACATGTCTGCTCTTATGGCAGACTTGGAGGCCAGAGAGAGACGAGCAGAAACTCAAAGCCAAGATGAGGTGCAAATCACAAGAACGCTCGAACAAGAGGTGAGAATATCTTTATTGAAGCCTTATGAGCGACTGTGCTGCTTTACGCATTGGAAAGGATGCAGAAAATCAAATAAACACAGTGGAGGTCTCAGATATTGTCTGGAAACTAGATATTTGAATTCATCCAGGAAACTCTGAAGCAAAAGCAGGTGCTTTATTCTGGTTTCTGTCAAATACTTTTTCCTGATTGAGTTGAAATCTCCCAAAGACCTGGGTCTGGATCAAAAAGCCCCAACTTAGGGYTTTTTTAAAAATTATTGTTACCACAGTGTTATGTTTTTCAATAAGCCCATTAGAGAATATTGCACGACTTTGTTCAGAATGCAAGTAATAAATGGTAGTGGTGCTTGATGAGAATTGGCTTGTGCTTAACGAGTTTAATATGGCAACATATAAAGAGCTGTGGTTTGGGCAGAGGAGGGAAATGTCAGGTTGTAGCTTACTGATAAAGTTGATTTACTGTAAGTGTTTATCCTAGCTTCTTTTTTGTCTGCAAATTGTGCGTGGGGGTTTGTAAATATCACTTTATTACATGTCTGTTTCTGAAAAAGATTGCYCGTTTACGAGAGGAGGGATCCAGACAGCTTGAAGAAGAACAGAGGCTCGTCAGAGAGCAGATTCAAAGAGAAAGAGAAGCCAAGCATCAATCAGGAGAACACACTCACAGAAGTATGTCCACTTCCAGGATTTAAGTATTATCAATCATGCAATTCAAGATGATCCAAAGCGTTTCGGTCCAGTCATTCCAATAAATCTAGTTTGTTACGCTGAAGTCTTTTCACTGCCCTGAAATCCCTGTTTAGTGAACTTCTATATTTCTCAGTCAGCCTAACCACAGCTGCCGCTGTTCACCCTGTGGTTGACCAGATATTATTCAGATAATGGACAATAACAAAAACTGAACTTATCCGAGACGAGGGCTATTTTAGTGTTTTTAACACAACTTTGGCAACGTTTCATAGGAATGCCAAGAGCAAAACATGCACACACAACAGCCCATCAGAGCTCTTTGGTAATACTTTTGTTTTCATTAAAAATCTGTGGAGTCGTGCGGAGATGTAAACCTGACCCCTTTTAATGGCTGAACAATTATTTGTTCACATTTGCTACATAATTTGAGTCTTTTATTTGCACGCATCAGGGCTCCGTCTGTAAGAGCCAGAACTTTTAACACGTGACCACCATCATTTAGAAGTTCTCTGCCTGCTCCCTTGACTACACTCTAGCACCATATTTCAATTAAACAGTTGTTTCTTTGTGTTTTTCCTTTGCTGTGTCAAATTTCCCTAATGCTTTTTTTTGGTACAGAGTCTGGAGGGGAGAGATGTTCCAAGAACAATGTGACCCCCAAACTGAAGGTAAGATTTGCAGCTATGGGAATTTAGTCAGTGCTTATGACTGAAGGCAGGTCAGGGTTAGGACTGAAGTCTTTGGAAAATAAAATTGTGTGTGAGAGCAGAGGTTCAGCTCTGTACGAATGAAAGAACAGGCGATAGCCATTTGTAATTTATTATTCAGAGACCACATATGCTGTCTCACCATGGAGCACACATGTTATATTAAGAGCAGAGTAGGCACAGCGTCGTCAGGGGACCGGTATTTATGCCAAAAAAAGGCTTATTACATTTCCTCCTGCAAAGACCCTGTTCTGCGTGTATTAAAGGACACAGGGGATATTAGCTAATCTGTTTATACATTAAATCTGGTTTTAAGAATATTAAGTCTTCCCTGATGTTTGTTTGTCTACAAAACACAGACAGCAGAATTTTACTGCTTAGATTTATGTTGAGGAAATTCTAAAATCCCGTATTTCATGTTATGCAGATATTTTTGCCTTGCAATTGAATCTAAATGTGCAAAGTTCCCTTCATGTGAACTACCTCTGAGACTCAGAGGCATGTGTATTAAAGTTGCATTTAGTGATTGCCACATGTGTCAAAATTGAGGCCCGCGGGCCAAATCTGGCCCTCGTTAACACTTAATCCAATCCCAAAGGTAATATTTTAAATGTAAAATAGCAGTTTTATTATTTCTCTTTTTGTCACTGTGTAGGCCTGTCACAATAAGCAATAAATCAATTAATTACATAATAAATTAGAATGAAGTCAATAAAAAAATTAGGTCAATCATTTTCATTAACTTGCTAGTTTGTTTTCTTGTCTTCATGTCTCCCTTTTTCTACTCTTTAGCATAAGGAGGAATGAACTCTCGCGACAGTTAGGATGAGAGCCCTGTGAGAAGGCATTTAGCTAGAGTCTTCAGTTTTTCGATGCCTTCTTTTAGTTGGCCACTCAGAACACCATGCTGATCCTTGGGTTCGCCCCTAGGAAGTTAGTTTTTTTTACACTACAAAAGTTTAGTAAAGTTGCATAAACTTCGTAATTATTTTATGAAGACACAAAGAATAAATTGTGCCAGCTTGGGTAGAGGTGGGTAGCGAGCGTGCATAAATTTTGTAATTTCTGTTAAGCTTTGTAAGCAGTGTTTGTGTGTGTGTGTGTGTGTGTGTGTGTGTGTGTGTGTGTGTGTGTGTG